CTAGTGCACTGTGATAGTTTAAAAGCACGTCGGATTTTTCTTAGTGCGCTGGGTGCCGTGTGGACGTAGACTCAAAATTCTACCTCAATCCCTCTTTCATGCGCCGGACTACTGTCCAAGGCAACAGGACATATATTCACGTGCAGGTAGAGGCCTTGACTAGGCTAGTTGTTGTTGTTGTTACTGTTATTATTTAAAACTCCGAGTGATCTGGTTGCCGGAAGATTGTGGTTTGGTTTTAAATAAACTAACTTTTCCCTGCTTTTAGCCCCTTCCATCATTCTAAGGAGGATAGACAAACTGCGCTCAGTTTTCCAAAAACTAACAGAAGTGGTGTCGGTGGAACACAAACCTGCTTGTCACTCAAAGTTGTCAAACATACGCGCAGTATCGTTTGCCGATAAAATGAGATGGTAAGCTTTCTTGTCAGAAAGACATTACCAACAAAGACAAGGGAGACTATGATGGCAATTTCTCGCTTAGCAGCCGTCGTCAGCCAGTCATACCCAGACCCAAATGGTGTCTCAACCGAGCCTCGAACTCGTGAACTCTCTGATCAGAGTCAAACGCCCTAGCCATTGAGCCACGAGCTCGTTGTCTTGCTGGTTTCTGATTGTTGACTTCCTAAACCACTCGTAATCTTGTGAGAAACTCTTCACGTAGTTATTTCCAAATTTACAAGGGGGAAGAGAGAAAGTCACCATCCTGAGTCCTAGAAAAAACTGTGACTCAGCGCATAAAAAATAGGAAAATAACGAAGTTGCACTCTTAAAAAGGGATCAAAATTGCGTATAACACAGATGGCCCTGCGCTCAAGTCCAGAAAGCGTAAATATTCCACTACTTTAACCTCAACACTAAGTCTAACTCAAACCTTAGCCGTAAACCTAATCCTAACCTTAACTTAACCACTGACCTTTAACGTAACCCTAATTTCTCCGGCATTTAAAACAAAGTAACCGGCGACACCGGTAGTTCTTGATCAATAGAAGCAACTTCAACCAAAAAATACCTTTTTGGTTTTCAAATCAGGCTGCGAGGGTGTTGCTGCCTTTCAACTTGAAGTTGGAGCGTCCGCAATAGGGTTCATCAGAAAAGCCGTAGATTTGCCAGAGTTCCGAATTAAAGGAGCCAACTACACTCCTCCCCTCAGCAGTCATTAGCACAAGCCTACGCGACTTTATATTTGAGAGCAGACAGAGTTCGGACGGTTTATTGGTAAGAAATGGAGAAGACATGTGAGCCCCTTTCTGACTTGATCCGTTGTGACCTGGATACGCGCGTGCTTATCGCGTGTGATGGCAGCCCGCATGATTAAAATGTAGTGTTCACCTTACCGGGTCAGACTTTCTGAAAGGCGGATTGTAGCATACTTCTAACGTGAACCATGTTCACAAAAATAACGTTTGTGAAGTCAAAGTGCCCCCTTCAGGTTGAAGCAGTGGACGGCGTTGGTTCTGCTGCCAACTTGCTCTGAACATAATCTCGTAAAGCCTAACTTACTAGGTTGCATGCTGATCGTTTATAATAAGCACAGTTTTTAGGTAGTACCAAATCTCTGACCAGCCTTGATTTCTGCCGGTAAAAGCCCCACAAATGAACAATAAAGTCAGGTAATCAGGGTGAAAGGTTTTAGTGACCTACTCTAGCTAACAAGATTGTCAGTAAGGTAATTGTAATCGCTGGGAAAAATTTATTTGGATGCGGTTCGCAACCACGCTGGCCTTTCTATCGACGGCTGATGCAAAATAAGGGAAAGAAAAATAGACGATACTGGCTTGGCCAATCAAGCGTAACTGCTGTTACGCCCCGACCGGCAGTTGCCATTAGCACTGATTCGTTGTTTCATGAGGGTCTTGGTGCTGAATGAACCCGACAGTCTGAGACTAGCTTCGCAGTCATGATCTTGCAAAATACGACACAGTCTTGAGGTAAAGATTCGCCTTCCCGATGTGCACAAAAGTACAGGAGAGGGCTGTTTCATCACCAGAATCAGTTCCGTAGTTTTTTTTCAACACAATCTTTTAAACTATATAATTTACGAGGGAAAAATAAAGAGAGAGAGAGAGAGAGAGAGAGAGAGAGAGAGCAACAGTTGGCCTTCCCTGCGGCGAGCTAGTAACGATGGTCTACAGGAAGTCGACGAAGACCATGTAAATTCTGAAGGTTCACGACAACCGCCCGGTAGTTCACAAGCGTGGCTGTGCGTGTGAGAACACTGTTCAGACCAGAATCCAGACTCAATGCGGCTATAAAGACGAAGAAGCACCTGAAGCCCTATATCTCAGTGAACGGTCGGGTGTAGTGTATCGCACCCCGCAATTAACCGTTCTCGTAACTATAGCGGTCTGACTGGACATGGCTTTCTGTGCACGCAAACTGGAGCCTAAGCTGGCTGTGAGAGGGGATGACGCATGATGACCACGTGGCTGCTCACACCTACGAAACAGGTAACCACTTGGATTTCGCAGCCACGATGATAATCGCCCACGCGTAGACCGTCATTCCTATTTCACCTTTAGAACTTTGCCCGGGGAAGGACGGCTGTTGGTCCTTTTCTCCTTCGCTCGTAAATTATATACATATCTCGGAGGATTGAGTTGAAATGATCATGAAAATGACTCCGGGATGAAGCGGTCTTCTTCTATACTTTTGCATACACCTGGAATGTGAAAATTAACCTCAAGACTGCGCCATATTTTGTAAGATCATTACCACGAAATCAATCTCAGACCGCCGGGTTCCGTGAGAACCAAGGCCGTCG